AAAGATATATGAAAAAAACTACATTTGCCTCTTTAAAAACATTCTATGTTATTGTGGAAGCAACGTCACAGAAAAAAGGGTTAGAAGAAATGTGAATCAGCATGAAATAAAATATTTTGAGGGTTATTGAACACTGTTCATTTTCATGAAAACAGAACAAGGTTGTTTATTTAGCACAGCTATTGCTGTAATTGTGATACATTAGCAAAATTAGCTGTATTCTGCAGTGCTCGATCTTGCTCTGTGTGTGAAATGGCCTACCACTAATACAAGGAAATTTGTTGTGAAACATGTACTGTAGAATTAAGTTCAAAATGTATCTGTGCCTAAATCACTTTATTTTGTAAATAAAATTTGGTTTCCAACATTTTTTCTCCAGAAAAGCACAATCTGCTAAATTCTTAACCAAGTGGAAGAGAGAAAATGTTCAAGAAAAACAAAGCAATTGTGCACGTCACACTGTAGTTGAAAGTGTTCTGATACTGAAGCTATGCCCAGTATTTTAAGCTGCTTTTATACAGAGTGATTACTTGTACGTTAATCTCAGAAGATTCTAGGTAGAAATTCAAAGGCCTTGGGCGCAGCCAATTAAATGTGACTCTGTGAGAATCCCAGTGATACTTACTCACTTTCCCCTGTTCCGATCATTGATCGGTTAAGGATGCATGAAAGATACATGATTTTTAAAAACAAGATAATGTTATTTAAAATATCAGTGTTCAGTGCTTGCATTTGCAAAGAACATGAATATTAGATGATACTGAGGACATTCCTTAATAATCAGCAAAGGTAAAATGTATTGTTGTTTTGATTCTGAAAAAAATGGAGAGGGTTACCATGAAATTATTAATATTTTACTTACATTTGTTACCAAATCACTGAACTCAAAAGCAGAATTGCTGAAGTCACTGGAGTTTGATACTTCAGGATTGATGGTTTTGGTTGAATTCTTTAAAAAATCAAAACTATAACTACATGATATAAACAACTATGCTCTTTTGTTTCAATAGAAATTAAATATATATCCTTACAGTATTCTTAGGTCAAAGAGTCAATTGGATGGTTAACAATACTACTTCCCAGTCAATTTCTTTGTCACTGTTAAATCTCCAGAGTTTGAATGGTTTTTAAAATAAGATTTGACTTGTAACTTACATAGGTATGAATTTGATAGTTATATTTTGATTTGTCATAGACAAAATACTGAATGATTATGGAAAATTGTTTCAATATGTCAAATTAGTTCCATGGCACCCGCGGTTATGTAACTTAGTACCTGTGGGGAGGGGCCTTTTTTTCCTTAATTCTCAAGCCCATAAGCAATCATTGACAATACTCAATTCTGATTCCTTTTCTTGGGGCCACATAAAATTTAATCTCTGTCTCTATTTCTAGAAAACTCTAGAAAAACTTCCTATCATGAGAGAGTCTTTTATCAGACAATATAATAGTTTTTCAGGGATGCAACTGCTTGGATAGGTATTTGAAGTTTGGAGTTGTAAAATCATGTTCTATCATCTCAACTATTCCATATATCAGCAGTGTTTTGGACTGTGACACAACATTTTATTTTTCATTTTATTCACTTGGAAAAAATCAAATAAAAACTACGGTGTTGACTTAGGAATCAGAGATATTTGCTGTTTGATACAGAGTAGGAACACTGCAATGACTTCAAGAAAATGATGACATTCTTCTAGACTGAAAAATGTGTGTGTCCTTGACGAAATAACAACTCTCTTTCTTGTACAGATCGCCCAGACACTCAAACTGCCCATTCAGAACATGGCACATCATAGAGACTTTAATAATTTTTAATAATTTTATTTGCCCATGTTTTCTGATTGCTCTATTTCACTGTGAACTCTCAGTACCAACAATTAATAACAGATAATTTGGAGGCTGGTGTTTACAAGTGATTGATGACACCAGTTACAGGTATCTTTGTTTCTTCTCCACTCCGTTCTGCGCTACGACAAAAAATAAGACATTTATAAATAGAGACATTTTATTTGCAGTATAGCATACATTCAAATTAGGTGCGTGCACAGACATTTTCCCAAATATTGCCATTTCTCTTTTTAACACATAGGTCCTTGGTAAGCACTGCTTTGTAACACCAGTTTAAAATAGTTCTTAATTCTTTTAATCTAACCATTTACAATATAAAATTTCAAGAATGGTACAAAGAAAAAATTATTCGTCAAAACAGTATTATCAGACATAAGAACATTTTTATAAGATAACTGTGAAGTCAACAGCAAAGCATCACAAATGAAAGAAAATTTCAAATACCATTTTTTATGAGGAATAAATGTCAGATTTATGCTTCTGATAAGACAGACCAGGTATCCTAGAATATTTTAAATTAGTTTTTGTATGTAAAACAACATTTTAAAACAAATCAGGGCCAGGCACAGTGATCCATGCCTATAATCCAAGCACTTTGGGAGGCCGAGGCGGGTGCATCACTGAGGTCAGGAGGTCGAGACCAGCCTAGCTAACATGGTGAAACCCCGTTTCTACTAAAAATACAAAAATTAGTAGTGGCATGCGCCTGCTGTCACAGCTACTTGGGAAGCTGAGGCAGGAGAATCCCTTGATTCTCAGAGGCAGAGGTTGCAGTTGAAGGGGTGGCCTGCCCCTCCACACCTGTGGGCAAGGTGGAACGAGAGACTTGAGAAAAATGAGACACAGAGACAAAGTATAGAGAAAGAAAAAGTGGGCCCAGGGGACCGGGGCTCAGCTTACAGAGGACCTACGCCGGCACTGGTCTCTGAGTTCCCTTAGTATTTATTGATAATTATCTTTACCATCTTAAAGATAAGGGAGTGGCAGGACAAAGGATCGTTTTAGGGAGAAAATTAGCAGTAAGACATATGGATAAAGATCTCTGTGACATGAATAAGTTCAAAAGAAAATGCTGTGCCTTGATATGCATATGCAAACATCTCCATAAACCTTTTAGCAGCATTGGGCCAACAAGTCCCACCTTATGCCTTAAGGCGATTTTCTCCTATCTCAGTAAACAGCATACAATCGGGTCTCACACCGAGATGTTCCATTGCCCAGGGATGGGCAGGATTTTTAACCAGCAAGCTGCCTTCAGGCACTTGTTTAACAAAGACACATCCTGCACAGCCCAAAATCCATTAAACCTTGAAGTCACTACAGCACATGTCTCTTGCAAGGCAGTTGGGGTAGCGTCACAGATTAATACATTCTCAAATGCAGAAAAAATGGAGTCTCTATGTCCTGCTGAATTTCCCTATATAACACAGTAATAGGCTGATCTCTCTTTTCCCCACAGCAGTGACTGAGATGGTGCCAACTGCATCCAGCCTGGGTACAGCAAGACTCCGTCACAAAATAAATAAATAAATAAAATAAAACAAATTGGAGGTAAATAAATTTAATTTTTTAAAAACAACTTAGTTTAATCAAAGCCAAGATTGTCCAGGCTGAGATTTGGAGAGAACAGCATCTAAGAGAAATAGAGCTCTTTGCCCTGGAGCCATTTGGTTACTGTCAGATGGGATATCTATCCAGGTTGTGGTTAAACCTCTGCTATTCCTTTTGACAGAGGCCCCAGTTTGGTCATCGGATATGTAAAGCTGCTGAGTGTATTAAAAGCACTGAGAAGGAACCAGAAGTCCACCCAGTCACCACAGCAGGCTCGCTGCTGCTCCACCTGATGCCCCAAAAGGCTCCAACTGACCAAATTTTTTGAAAGTAATTCAAAGGACTTGACTGTCCTTATCCTTACTGGCATGAGCAAATAGCATCCATTGGAGAAAGAAAACATTATTGGACCTCTAAAGACCAGCCAAAACCGTTGTTCACACCACTGTATTTTGTACGTTTGCCTAAAAGGTAATGAAGGTCATGAAGAAAAAAGACACTGTGAGAAAAAATAAACAGACGCCAAAGAAGAAAAAAAATGTGTCCAAAGCAACAGAATTACTATATTCAAAGACATGAGGTCAAGCCTGGAAATTCAAGAAGAAGTAGAAACGAAAGTGACAGATAGGGTAAAAAAAAACCCACAAAATTCCCTATAGACTAAAAAATGTGAGGAAAAAAGGTGATCATAAATGAGTTTAACAGCAAATGAGACACAGCTGAGATAAAGAAGCCAGTGAATTATAATCGGTATTTATAAGAAACTAACCAGAAAAAATGTGCATGTTTATACATACAATTCATAAGATATAAGGGGGGGGGGGGGGGGGGGGGGATACAAGACTGAAGAGTCCTGAGGAATTTAAATATAAAATCTAATTAGTTACACTGAAGAAAAGAAAGGAAAATAGAATGGACAGGAAAAATATTTAAGGACCTCAATGTCTGAGAATTTCTAAACTTCATGAAATGTAATAACCTGCAATTTCAGAAGGACAAACCCCTGGGTAATGAAGCTGCAGAAAACCAAGAAACAAGTAGAAATTAGTAGAGCTCACCTGTGATGTAAGATATCGCCTATCAAAACCCTCCTACACAAAAAAAGTATCTTTAAAAATAAAGATAA